CCTGCTACATTAGTGGCTTTTTTCCTAACACAAAGATACTACGCAGCCAAAAACTATCACTATTGGCCAATGCAGCTCCTAATCTCAAAAATTGCCAATCTCTGAAAAATAGACCGAAAGATTTTGCAGAATTCCTGAACATTTGGGATACATGCATGGAATACGTTAAGAAAGCTGTAGTATCAATGTTGAGGAAAGATGGGCCTGCAGTCCAGCATATGTAGGACTAAGGGTTGGGACCTCCTGATTTCCACATAATTAAATAGTCTTTTCCCCAAATCACAAATGAATTTAAAAAATACCACTGTTTTACCTTTAGCAGGTTTGACCTTCAAATTAAATGGCTGGTATTGCCAGATGTAAGAAACCAGTATGGGTGCAAACCGTGCTAAGATTCTTTCAATGTATTGCTGAAGAATTTGAGGGTTTCCTGGTTCATGTGCAAGGAACAGCTGGTATTGCACCGCATCTTCCACAGATGCGAAGTTTAGCTCTTCCATTCTGTATTTAACAAAGCATCCTGTCAAAAGAAGCATTTTGAAACGAATTAAACATACAATAATGTTTCTTCCAACATATACATCGAAAACATCAAAGATAATGTGAAAAAGTGGTTTCTGCTTGCTTGAAAATTACCATTAAAATAGGCCATGGTAAAGGTAAAGATCTCCCTTGACATTAAGTCTAGTTGTGTCTGACTCTAAGCGGGCAGGGGTGCTCATCTCCATTTCTAAGCCAAAGAACTGGGGTTGTCCTTAGACGCCTCCAAGGTCATGTGGCCGGCATGACTGCACGGAGTACCGTTACTAATACGCCATACTAATACAAAAATCCTACTATATCATACCATAAACTCTGCACTGACTTGAAATTAATGTTAAAATACATTAATTAAAAGCAAATTAAGGGCAAACTTAATCTAGCAGTGTTTTACTGCTTTACTGTATTATAAATGCTTTTAAATCTAAAGTATTATTTCTTCAATTTTTTGCCAGTTGCTTCAACAACAACAATAACAATTTTTATTGATTAGCCAGTTGGCCTTATCAAAAACAGACAGTGCAAACACATCATAGAACATACAACATACATCTGGTCCTATTAAAATAGAATACAAATATATAGGAATTTATCAACTTAAAACCAATGTAGCGCCAGTTGCTTCAGTTCCTTTCTACTGCACAAAGGAACCAGCTAGATCCAAAAATTGTATTTTGTTTTGTTTTTTAAAAAATCACAGCAACAGATCATTCTAGGATGATGGGAGTTGCAGTCTAACCTCTGTACCTGGCTAGCTGTGAAAATGTCCCTGAAACCAGCAGAAACAGAGACTTCAATGCCAGGCGCTTAAAATGTGTGCCAACTTGATTTGAAGGCACTTCATTCCCAGGGACTTGTTCAGCACTTTTAATTTGGAGATCAGCTTTGTCGATTGCAGCAGGACTGGGGAATGAGGGCTCAGAAAAAGGCTCAGAAAGGATGTAGTATAGCTGCACTGCAGATTTATGTCAGTTTATTGCCACTTTAACTACCATGGCTCAATGCTATAGACCTTGGGGATTTTTAGCTTTGTGAGAGTGTTATGCTTCACAGGCAGAGAGCTCTGTTATCATGACAAAACTACAAATCCCACTGTAGGTGCAGTTTGAAGCCCCTTTATCTGTTTAGAAAAAAAGCCAACATCTGCCAGGAACTGGGGAGCCAGGATGTTTCAGGCTGAAAAACAACTTGTCACTCAGGGCCCTTCCACACAGCCCTATATCCCAGAATATCAAGGCAGAAAATCCCACATTATCTGAGTGTAGACTAAGAACACAGTTCAAAGCAGATATTGTGGGATTTTCTGCCTTGATATTCTGGGAAATCCTGCAAATCTCTTGGGAAGGCGGACAAATGTCAGCGTGCTGGAAGAAGCAAAGACCACCAGCATTGAAACAATGGTCCTCCGCCATCAACTCCACTGGACCAGCCACGTTGTCCGGATGGCCGACCACCGTCTCCCAAAGCAGTTGCTCTACTCCAAACTCAAGAACGGAAAACGAAATGTTGGAGGACAGGAAAAGAGATTTAAAGATGGGCTCAAAGCCAAACTTAAAAACTCTGGCATAGACACTGAGAACTGGGAAGCCCTGGCCCTTGAGCACTCCAGCTGGAGGCCAGCTGTGACCAGCAGTGCTGCAGAATTTGAAGAGGCACAAATGGAAGGCGAAAGAGAAATGTGCCAAGAGGAAGGTGCATCAAGCCAACCCCGACCGAGACCGCCTTCCACCTGGAAACCAATGCCCTCACTGCAGAAGAAGATGCAGAGCAAGAATAGGGACCCACAAGAACACTGGAAGACAATCATCCTTGGAAAACGAGGGATCGCCTAAGCAAGTAAGTATATTCCAGTTCAAAGCAACATATTAAAAATATAACCGCTTTCAGTTCCCCCCAGGAGTGATTAACAAAGCAGTACAGAAATGCAGTTAATAAATAAAATAAAATAAAATGTGGGATTTTATGTCAGCTGTGTGGAAGGGGCCTGAGTCCACACTGTCATATAATCCAGTTCAATGTGGATTTTATACAGCTGTGGTAAAGGGGCCTCAGATAATGCAGTTCAAAGCAGATATTGTGGATTATCTGCCTTGATATTCTGGTTCATATGGCTGTGTGGAAGGGCTTCTAGGTCTGTATAGCAGGCATGGGCAAACTTGGACCCTCCAGGCATTTGGAATGGCCTAAGTTTGCCCCCGGGAGCCTCCCAGGGAAAGGGGTGGGTTCTCTCATGTCTTAGGCCCCTTCCACCCTGGCCTTTGACCTGTGGGGTCCCGCAAGGCTCCATTCTGTCTCCCATGCTTTTTAACATCTACATGAAACCGCTGGGAGAGGTCATCCGGAGTTTTGGAGCTAGGTGCCACCTCTATGCGGATGACACACAGCTCTACTACTCCTTTCCACCTAATTCCAAGGAGGCCTCTCGGGTGCTGGACGAGTGCCTGGCCGCTGTGTCTATCTGGATGAGGAGGAACAAGCTGAAGATCAATCCCGACAAGACAGAGGTCCTCCTGGTCGATCGTAAACCTGACCGGGGTATAGGGTGGCAACCTGTGCTGGACGGGGTTACACTCCCCCTGAAGCCACAGGTCCGCAGTTTGGGAGTCCTCTTGGATTCATCGCTTACGCTTGAGGCTCAGGCGTCGGCGGTGTCTGGGAGGGCTTTTGCACATGAGACTCGTGCACCAACTGCGACCATACCTCGCGAAGGCTGATCTGGCCGGGGTGGTCCATGCCTTGGTCACCTCCAGATTGGACTACTGCAATGCGCTCTACGTGGGGCTGCCCTTGAAAATGGCTCGGAAGTTCCAACCGGTCCAACGGGCAGCAGCCAGGATGCTAACTGGGGCCCCTTACAGAGAGAGGTCAACCCTCCTGTTCAAGGAGCTCCACTGGCTGCCATTTATTTTCCGAGCCCAATTTAAGACCCGTCGCAAAGTAGGTTCCTGCGGGAGCAAACCTTGCTAGCACGTCCCTGACGTCATGAGACTCCGCCTCTCGCCCCGCCCCTTTCTCCGCCTCTTTCTCCTTGCAGAGTGGTTTTTCCTTTGCTAGGGCAGCATTGCCAGCGTACTCTCTCAGTTGGCAGAATTCAACTGAGAGAAAATGCGGGCAATGCTGCCCTAGCAAAGGAAAAACCACGCTGGCAAAGAGAAAGGGGCGGGAGGTCAACCCTCCTGTTCAAGGAGCTCCACTGGCTGCCGTTCGTTTTCCGAGCCCAATTTAAGGTGCAGGTGGTTACCTACAAAGCCCTGAACGGTTTGGGACCATCCTACCTCCGTGACCGCATCTCCATCTACGAACCCACGCGTTCACTTCGGTCATCTGGAGAGGCCCTGCTCGTGATCCCGCCTGCGTCTCAAGCGCGCTTGTTGGGGACGTGAGACAGAGCCTTTTCCGTGGTGGCCCCCTGACTATGAAACACCCTCCCCAAAGATCTTAGACAGGCCCCTCCGTTGGCAGTCTTTAGAAAGAACTTGAAGACCTGGCTGTTCCGATGTGCCTTCCCAGAATAGGAATCTCCATTGTCAAGTCCCAGAAGCACTTTATTAGAACTAAGATTGCCGCACACCGCACACTGCACTTGCCCTATAATCCTACATACCACCTGTCACATCAGCACTTTTAATTCCTGTACCCATTACTCTGGCCCGGCCCAGTTTTATTGTGTCTTAGTGTATTGTTTATTGCTTGTTGTTTAGATTGCTTTAATTGTTTTTAATTTGCCTTAGGTTTTGTATTGTTGTATTGTGTGTTGAGGCCTTGGCCTTGTAAGCCGCATCGAGTCCTTCAGGAGATGCTAGCGGGGTACAAATAAAGTTTAATAATAATAATAATAAAAAAGAAAATGTGGGATTTTATTCAGCTGTGTGGAAGGGGCTTGAGTCCACACTGTCATATAATCCAGTTCAATGTGGATTTTATACAGCTGTGTTGAAGGGGCCTCAGATAACACAGTTCAAAGCAGATATTGTGGATTATCTGCCTTGATATTCTGGTTCATATGGCTGTGTAAAGGGCCTCTAGGTCTGTATAGCAGGCATGGGCAAACTTGGACCCTCCAGGCGTTTGGAATGGCCTAAGCTTGTCCCCTGGAGCCTGACCTGCTTCCCAGGGAAGGGGGTGGGCTCTCTCATGCCTTAGGCCCCTTCCACACAGATTTGACCCAAAGCCCCCTCCGTCTCTCCCTTCCTCCCACTGGCTCACTACACTACTACATAGAACTCTCACAGAGAAGCAGGCCTCACCAACGTCTCGCGAGAGCCGCCTTTCCCCTTCCTCCACAATCAGTCGATAGGCTGTGGTGAGGCGAGCGCGCACCACGCTCTCCGCTCTCCGTACCGCTCGCGCTGCTCCTACCATTGAGCTGCGACTTCCGCTCGGGCTAGAGTGGGGGGAGAAGGCGGGAGGAAGGACGGAAGGCAGGCAAGGAAAACAAGGAGGCGGGGCGTCGCCATGGCGGCCAGGGGCCGACCTGGGCCGCGATGAGGCGCTGAAGGAGGATGATCTCGCGATATACGCGGAAGCCGGTGCCCCCCGACGCCCTGGGCATGTGAGTGGCCTCGCCCGCCTCTTTTCCTCCTTTCCCTCCGCTTCCCTTCTCCTTTGCTGCTTCGCCTCCCCCAGAGGAGGCCTCTCAGCTGAGGGAAGGAAGGGGGCCCTTGGCTTTCTTCGCTTCCCTGTCCCGTTAAGGCAGCCATGGGCAAACTTCGGCCCTCCAGGGGTTTTGGACTTCAGCTCCTACAATTCCTATCAACCATGTTCCAGTAGCATTTTCTCCTGACGTTGCACCTGCATCTGTAGCCGGCATCTTCAGAGGTTCTGTTGGCAGTAAAGCAAGTGGGGTGTATATATACCTGTGAAATGTCTGTGGTGGGAGGAAGAACCCTTGTCAGTTGAAGCAAGTGTGAATGTTGCAATTAGCAAGCTTGAATAGCATTGAGTAGCCATGAAGCTGCAAAGTCAATCGGTGAGGGTATAATAATAATAATAAGAACAAGCCACAAGAGTCAAGATGAAGATCCACCCAGAGGAAAAGTGTTCCTGCCATACATCAAGGGAACCACTGACCGCATAGGGAAGCTGATGAGGAAACACAACATACAAACAATCTACAAACCCACCAAGAAAATCCAACAAATGCTACGTTCAGCAAAGGACAAGAGGGATCCTCTCACGTCTGCAGGAGTCTACCGTATACCATGCAGCTGTGGACAAGTCTACATAGGGACCACCAAACGCAGCATTGCCCAACACGAATCAAGGAACATGAAAGGCACTGCAGACTACTTCAACCAGAGAAGTCAGCCATAGCAGAGCACCTGATGAACCAACCTGGACACAGCATATTATTTGAGAACACAGAAATGCTGGACCACACTCACAACCACCATGTCAGACTACACAGAGAAGCCATTGAAATCCACAAGCATGTGGACAATTTCAACAGAAAGGAAAACCATGAAAATGAACAAAATCTGGCTACCAGTATTAAAAAACTAAAATTGCAACAGCAAAAACAGCAGAGAGGAAACAGGCAGGGACATCTAATCACCTTTCAAGAAGAGTTTGCTCCAGGCACAGTCAGCCCATTGTATGCTAATCAAGGTGGTCAGTTGAAAGATCCACACCTAGCCCAACTTACAAAAGCCCTTTGTCTCACCCTGGTCATTCCACAGATATATAAACCCCCTTTTTTCCCACTTCCAGCAGACCTCACCTCTGAGGATGCTTGCCATAGATGCAGGCGAAACGTCAGGAGAAATGCCTCTAGAACATGGCCATATAGCCCAAAAAACCCACAAGAACTGAGTGATTCCAGCCATGAAAGCCTTCGACAATACATAATAATAAAAACTTTATTTAGATAGATATCTATATCTATATAAATAAAAATGTAATGTTGTTTGTGGGATTAACATAACTCAAAAACCACTGGACAAATTGACACCAAATTTGGACACAAGACACCTATCAGGCCAACAAGTGACCATCACTCATAAAAATACTGAAAAACACAGCAAAAGAGATTAAAAATCCAAAAAATAAAAATTACAATGAATGCGTAAAATCATACACACACACACACATATATATATGCACAAACACACATATATACACACTAGCTGTCCCCTGCCATGCCTTGCTGTGGCCCAGTCTGTGTCTATGTGTTTTGTGTGTGTATATATTTGTGTCTATGTGTGTGTTTGAGTATATATATGTGGTTTTGTGCATGTTTTGTAATGTATTTTTTTGATTTTTGGCTTTTTAAGTCACTCCTGCTGTATTTTCCAGTGTTTTATGAGTGATGGTCACTCGTTGGCCTGATAGGTGTATTGTGTCCAAATGTGGTGTCAATTAGCTCAGTGGTTTTTGAGTTATGTTAATCCCACAAACAAACATTACGTTTTTATTTATATAGATATACACAAATATATACACACACACAAAACACATATACACAGAGTAGGCCACAGCAATGCGTGGCAGGGGACAGCTAGTCTATATAAATAAAAATGTAATGTTCGTTTGTGGGATTAACAACTCAAAAACCACTGGACGAATTGGCACCAAAGTTTGGGCATAATACACCGATCAGGCCAACAATTGACCATTACTCATAAAAACACTGAAAAACACAACAAAAGGGACTTTAAAAGCCAAAAAATATAAAAAATACATTACAAGGCATGCACAACACCATATATATACACACACAATCACACATTTAGGCACGTATACACAAATATATACACACAAACATATATCCACATATAATAAATAAATAAAATTTTATTTATGCCCCACCACCATCTCCCCAAGAGGACTCAGGGCGGCTTACATATGGCCAAGCTCAACAATCACATCAAAGCAAATATACAGCATAAAATAATACATCAATAAAATATAATGAAAATAATAAAAACAGTACAAAATAGGCACACAAAACAATATAAAATCACAATATACACAAATATATACACACACAAAGCACATATACACAGACTGGGCCACAGCAACACGTGGCAGGGGATGGCTAGTACATCAATATAAATAGAATCCCCGTGCTAAGTCTATGAGAAGCAAACATTAAATTGATTTAATTAACTCTTTATAAAATATAGAATGAACCATATTTTAAAATTATTTTGTGTTATGGAACTACGCTTAATGATTCGCTATTTTTTTTTTCACACACACATACACCAATTTTTCCCCCGGTTATAGCCCTGGCTACACTGTAAGATTAATGCAATTTGATACCACTTGAATTGCCATATCTCAATTCTATAGGGTTATGGGGTTTGTAATTTGGTAAGGCAGTAGCTGCCATGCTGGATTCCAAACAAAATTTCTTGGGTGTGTTTAGGTCATTGCCCAAACTGATTCACAATCAGCCGCTACCACTCCCAAACTGTGCCTAGATATTGTGGTGTGACTCTCTAGTCTCTACCCCTTAACATGTTGATAAATGGCCAAAAGTGGTGAATATAAATGATGTGAACTCATTTTAGGTATGCCACGATATGACCCATGGAAGAAGCCTTACTGCCTTTCTGTTTTTATTCTCTTTTAGCCGAGGACTTTCCAAGAATACCTTAGAACATCATCCTCTGCCAGACTCATTGGATGACAGTTATCCATCCACTGAAAGCCAGGAAGACTTTTCCAGGTAATATTCTTCTTTGCCTTTTTGGAACTGGATGGATAGAAAATACAGTGTTATTTCTGCACCTGTGGGACCTTTATACATGGTTCCACCTACCTGCATCTGACAAAAATATGTCCTCTAGGAATTTTTTATTCCCCCCAGGAAAATCTGTGGTGAGCTAGAAGCTGCTATAAAGTTGCCCTGGAGACCTAGAAAATTCAATGGGAATCCCATGTATTATGGCATTTTATGGTCATACCAGACAGAAGTCTGTTTTTTCAATAGGATTCACTAATATCCATAGAATCCTGTTTTTGGAAACAGTTCATGATACAGAACTTATACTGAGTCCCCTTTGGGGAGATAAAGTGGGGTATAAATAAATAAAATAATGCTATACATTTCCTTCCCTTCTTAATTTGACTTTGCTGCTGCGTCTGCCTTTTAGCAGAGTTGAAATATCGGTTAGTTCATAACCATATATTGAAGGTCTATTATTTGGCTCTGGTCAAGTGACAGTTATTCTATAAGTAGCACAATGATTCTGTGGGAGATTGTGGGCTAAAATTGTAGGTGATAGTGTGGTGACACTGGACAGAGTAGACAGGACAAGAGAGAACATTTCTTCCTTTTAAGTGCTTCAAAGCAAGGGAATACATTTTACTCCTTACTTTGGGATGCATTATGTGTGTTGTTTTAAAAAAATAATGCTAAATGTGTTTTAGTTGTTTCGGGGTCTAGATCTCCATTTCTGAACCCATTAGAGCTCTGTCGTCTTCTGAAGACACCTTATTTCTGTCCCATCACCCTCTTTTGGAGGGAACAAGAGAGAGGGCCTTCTTCTGAGTTGCTCCCAGACTTTGGCAATCCCTCTCTAAGGCGGTCAGGATGTCTCTGCCCTTCCTCTCTTTCCATGATAAATTAAAACATCCTTGTGTCATCAGGCTTTTAAAAACTGAATGTGATAGGCTTCTAATGATCTGTGTTATGATTATGTAATTTTTAAAAATATAATTACCTTTATGTTTTGTATAATTGTCTTTGAAGTAAGTTTCATATTTATATTGACGTTCATGTACAGGTTTTGAATCTGTTTTGTTTTAAAATATGTTGCATCCTTGAGTCCCATTATTTGGTGACAGGTGAGATATAAATGAGTAAAATAATATGTAGCACTTTATTTGAAGAATTTAACTCTTGACTTATTCTTATGTTAATATTTCTTTTCTTTCCTGCACTTCAACTGTACATGTCAGTGAGTCTGAAAGTGCAAAAGCTTCAAACTACCAATCTGTCACTTCAGTGGATGATGAGAACTCATGGTCAGCTGGTCAGAGCTTCACAGGCATCTCTACCGAAGACAGCTCAGTTTTTTCATGGGGCTATGATGTGAGTTGACTATGTTTTTTTTTCCAGTTTAAAATAAGAAGAGGCTTTTGATCATCTTTGAAAAATTTATGTCTTTCTAGTCTTAATATATTTTCACACATTGGTTCTGATATGTATATGAATGAAAATTTAAGACTGTACAAATGTTGAAATGCTTTGCACTTAAAAGTATGTGTTTGTGTGCATGCACATACATTATACCTGAGATGACCGATGAAAACTGTAGACTCAGAGCTAAGTCCTGAAACCTGATAAAATCTAGATAAAAAAGCAGTCGTAGATTAAAACTCTAGTCAGTTCTGACGTAACTCAAATTAGTGTATCACTGCTTCAAATTTCCCTTCTCTTAAGGAGTTAAATCCAACTTGGTAAACAAATCATGATATCCTTTTGCTCTTTTTGGAAGTAAGTACATACAATTTAATTTTAAGCCCTGGGATGTTGCTATCTGCAAAGGATTCTAGAAGATTTGGCTCCAGTAAATGAAGAATGTAATTCATCCTTGCTGATTTCAGTATGGCCGCTAAAGTGCAGGGCCTCCCAGATTATTCTATTCTGAAGATACACATTTTCATTTATTTCTGTTACTCTCAACAAGCATTTAGCATTCTGTTGGCAACTGAGGCTACAGAGTTTTCATTGGGCTGTATATGTTGCAACTCAGGTTAGTTTTCACCTTGCTCCAGACACCACCACACCAAGGCTGTAGGCTTTTGTAGTTTCTTGAGAAAAGCAAAATCAAAACAAAGAAATAGAAATGCAATAGTTCCATAGGCAAAACAGAGACTTAAATGTAAAGGCAAAGTTCCCAAGATCCATAGGCAAAAACATGAAGCATAATCCCTTAGCAATGGTCAAACAGAAGTCCATGGTAAACAGTTGAAAATCAGACCCAAATCCCAGACTCAGGAAGCCAGAAGCGTGCTGTGCAAAACCAAGGAGAATCTCCAGAAGTTAACATGGGAAGAGCAGTGTTGGACTGACAACAACTGCCTGTCAGCTACAAGACTAAATATCCTTTGCAAACATGAAAGCATTGCGTTGACCTTGGGCACCTTTGGCTTCTCGCTTGCTGGCCAAGCAAGTGCTTCTCCGAAGCATTAATTGCAAATGATCTTGTCTGCTCATTAATTCATTATCTGCAAGGCTATGCAACCCCTTATCTCAGTCCAGCTGGGACGGATCCTCCACCTGGCCATGTGGGATTTCACTCTCGCTCTCTGACTCTCTAACTGCAGGAACATTCCCTTTCCCCGGGGAACTGACTTGATGTTTCTCCTTCAGCAGCCACACTATCACCCCCGTCTGACGCAAGTACAGGGATCTGTAAACCATCAGCCTCCTCATCATCCTGCAGAAAAATCAGGCCCAGAAGGCTCAAAATCAGGCCCAGAAGGCCCAAACAGCTCAGCATCAGACTCAGAGTCAAGCTGAGTCACAACAGTATGGGAGGGAGCAGGGGGGCAATTCCCTCCTCAGGATTTTTTTCCATAAACATTTTTATGTACTTCTGTAAAGCCTGGGATTTACCTAAGCATGCTAATACCCGCCTCATTGTTTTCAGTGGCCCTTCCTTGATTACAGCACCATTTTGACGTTTGAGTTTACAGCTGGAAAGTATAACTATCATTGACAAGTTATCTTTACTTTTTCCTTTCTTGAACAGCAACAGAATAGGAGATGTTTGACAAAGGCTTTCTGAATAAATAGCTCAAGCTGTTTAAATAACCATTTCACACTGGAATGCTAGAAAGTCACTGTTTGTTTTATAGGAACAAAATGTTCTGAGTCTGCTCCTAAACTGTTAACAAGTTTAATGCCTGGTACACTCCTCTCTTTTCATTTTTTTTTCTTTCCAGGAATTTGATAAAGCAGCTACACGGCAGGTCCAGCAGATATTTAGACACATTGACGAGCTCTTGTATGAACAAAAAACAAGTGTGTTTGTTGAAGGCCTAGAGGAAGAGTGCCAACAATGGATGTCAAGCTTCCCCCATCTCAGGTGTTTATTGATATTGGATATTTCATGGCATAGAGAATCATTATTTGGTGTAACCGATAGTGGTACAAGTAATGTTAATACGTATTACATGAATTCTAAAATATGCTTTTATCTCACCTTGTGTGCTGTCATTACATACCAATACAGAGGCTCATTCTACTATTTATTTCCAACGCTCTGTTTTAATGCTGAATGTCTTGAAATGGAGAAATAATTCTTTTTGAACATGCTGATGTTATAGATTTTAATTTTATATTGATGTTACAATGTGCTACACAATTGTATTCAACGCACAATATAGTATAGTTTATGGCATATGCATAGTGACCTTCAGATGTAAATAATGTCTTTGAGTTGTAACCTTGGAGTACTTTTTGGATGCCTTTTGTATAATTGTATGGATTTAACATACTTTGACAAGCATATGGAAAGCGTATTTAAAAACAACTTTCTATTTAATATTAGGATTGTAGGAAAACAAGTAGTGATCCCCACAGATGAAGGCTATAGGTGGTATTCTAGTTCAGCTTGCAGTACCTTGGAGTCATCCGACATGAGCCCAATGCAAGAGAAAGATCCTAGTGAGTAAGTATTGATAGTTTCTGTGTGGCACTTTCTGATTATCACTTCTCATCAACTAAGCTTCTCTAAAGCATAAAAGGAACGCCTGTTTTATAGCATAATTATGATTATGACATTTGTTTTCATTGGAGATGAAATTATAATCTTTGTAATCATTTCTTTTCTGAAAAGTTTTGTGCCTTCCGTGTATTTTTCAAAGGTGATAGTGTTACTAGTGCATCTCCTTTGGATACTCCATATTTTGAGTAATTATAGGCTTTTCTTGAGCTTATTTACTTCTGATAACAAAAGAAATAGAAAAGAGGTTATGTTGTGGCTCTCCTAACACCAGATCTATATCTCCGATCTGCAGAACTGCTTCTTAAACTATAGGTCCTGGTCGCAAATTGGGTTCCCTTAGCTCAATGTTAGAGTCGCTAAAAAATTGGCAATAGTAAAAGGTTTCTGAACACCAGCTAGTGGCTAGTTAAACATTTACACAGATCTGTTGTGTGGTGTTTAGAGTGGACTCTGCAGAAAATGCTTTAGCTGTAATTCATAAAGAGGAAAATCAGTCTGTTTAGCATGCTTTGCAAATTCTGATTTCTTATCAGTAAATGTTTGATTTTATACTTATTTTATATGTAAATGTTTGATCTACATATACTTATTTTATACTTATTTTATATGTATTGTCTGAATTTTTGTCCCGGCATTGAATGTTTGCCATGTATATGCTGTGCTCTGCCCTGAGAAGGGCGGAATATAAATGTTTTAAATAAATAAATAAATATTCCTGGGTCACGTAAAAATTTCTCAAGTGGAAAGAGGTAGTGAATGGAAACGTTCAAGAGGCCCTGATCAGTCTCTCACTGTTATTGATCACTGTAGCCAGTGATAAGGAATGAAGAAAGTTGTCATCCAAGTCCATCTGCAGGCTGGATAGTCTCTGATCTAAAGCAATGTATATGAACTTACAGAAGACACTGTACGTCACTGGTTCCTAACCTGTGGTCCGTGGATCATCAGTGGTCCCTAAGAACTAAAATATGGTCCAATTCAGTTTTCTGAATTTGCACTCCAGAAAGCCAAACCAAATCTAAAGTTGACCAAAAACTGATTCGTAACCCTTTTCGTACTAATGTTGGAGAATGGTCCCTGGTCCAAGTGGTCCCTGGTCAAAAAAGGTTGGTAACCACCGCTGTAGTTCATATATCTTTTGTTTAAGCTTTTGTGTTTTCTTCACCACTCATACTGACTTTTTCATTTTGACATGTTTTTTAAATTGTAAGCATTAGGGCAGGGAGTCTTTTCTTTTTTTTTTTGTTCACCTGTAAACTGTTTGAGGAGCCTTTATTGCAGAAGAACAAAGTAAAAAAAACTGCATGAGGGATGCTGCTCTTTCCTATGTGTTTGATGACCTGTGGAATGAAGTTCTGGGTTGGATTCAGGCAGGTTGGGGTTGTAAGTTCTAAGTACAATTTTAATTGTATTTATTATATTTTAACTGTATTTTAACCTAAACCCACACAGTACTATTTACCGTAATTGTTATTTTTTAATTTTTGTATTTACTTTGTTTTAAACTGTGACCAAATTGTGTGGTTGTTAGCCTCCTCAAGTCCCCACAGAGATAAATGTGTGATATAAATAAAATAATAATAAATAATAATAAATACATAAATAATAAAATAGCAAATAAGGTAGCAAAATAGGTCTGATTGTTATAATTGTTAATGCATAAGATATTTTTATATAAGCTATCATGTTAATCCTTTTTGATTTTTACCCTTTGAAAAAGAAAATACTTTTTTGTTCAGGTTTAGCATTCTGGGTAAAAAGGTTCCTCTCTCTGTTGCTTCTACTGAAGAAGAAGAAGAAAATGTTTCACAACCTCCCAAATCATGTTTGTTGGAGAACGAAGAAGATGGAGTGATCATCTCTGAGGGCATAATGGAGGAATATTTAGCATTTGACTGCAGAGAAGTGTAGGTATTGAATTTTTAATCAACTTTGCAATGCCATGCTTGAAACAAATGATGCAGACTTTAATTTCTGGTATAGAAATAATATATAAATATGTATAAGATATTATTGTATGGCCTCCACTTTTGTGAGGGTTAGAAGTACAGTGTTCTCTCTAGGAATTTCTAGGTCTTCCTGTGTGACTTTACAGTCAATATCTAGCAGAAGCTGACAATAGGGTCATGCTGGAGGACTTAGGGCCCTTCCACACAGCCCTATATCCCAGAATATTAATGCAGAAAATCCCACAATATGTGCTTTGAACTGGGTCCACACTCACATAATGTGGGATTTTCTGCCTTGATATTTTGGGATGTAGGACTGTGTGGAAGGGCCCCTAGAGATTCCTAGATTGAACATATTAATCAAACATATGAATAATCAAAACCACAAAAGTTTCAAATGTGGAGTGATTAACCATAGATCCTCTAATGTTAGAAAGTGACAAACTATTATATCTTCTAAAAGCTTTTGAACTAGTAAAAATGCTTCTGCACCAACAGTTTTTCATTTCTGATATTGTGCTTTCCCATTTTGTATAGTTGTGATTTTTCCAATTGCAGACCCAGGCAAGTATTTCAACCCCGCTCCCCAAATCAAAGAAAAGTGAATTCTATAATAAAATACAGTGAATTATTATGTAGAAATTGTTACTTTTCCTTTGCTATATTTCTAGTAATAGTCAGTTTTGTAAATTGTCATCATTATACCACACAATGTAATTAAATTACCATTTTTGTTCATTTTGCGTTGTTTTTTTTCCTTTTCAGCATTGTGTTATAGTTAATGCAGATTGTAGTGGTTTTTATGTGTGTGAAATATAGGGTGATATAAGAATGGTTAAGATGTTGAATAGAAAGAGATTTTCTTGAAATCGAAACAACCCATATTCACATCTCCTGCTTTACGTGTCATCGAAGGCTTTCATGACCGGAATCACTGGGTTGCTATGAGTTTTCCGGGCTGTATGGCCATGTTCCAGAAGTATTTTCTCCTGATGTTTCACCCACATCTATAGCAGGTATCCTCAGAGGTTGTGAGACCTCATAACCTCTGAAGAGGCCTGCCATAGATGTGGGCAAAACATCAGGAGAGAATGCTTCTAGAATATGGCCATATAGTCCAGAAAACTCACAGCAACCATTTTCTTGCTTTATATATACATAATTAAAATCTGTTTTATCTTGACAAATCCAATGCTTTCCCATTAGCTTGGCAAGTGAAAATAGGAGTCTGCATTTCTTTACTGTTGAACATTAAAACCTCTCTAGTGAAAACTAGAATTTTGCTGTTGTTTTTGAGTAGCTAGACTGAATTGCTCTTGGTCATGAAAATATTATTTTCTTTAAAAGGCTATACATAGTATGTGTTATTGCTCTTCTGACTTTCCACATATTTTGGCATTATCTTTCAAATGTTGGAGTCTGGGTAGAGGAACTTCCAGCTTTAAGTTGTTATTTCAAAAAATTACACTGGAACTAGAACATTTGCTTGTCTGTTTCAAAGGGAGGAGGAGTTGCATGAATGGAAGATGGGCCTTTCACCTGACAGGCGGAAGCTAGGTTTCCCTCCTATCTCACCATCATACTGCATGAGGGATGCTGTTCTTTCCTATGTGTTCGATGACGTGTGGAGTGAAGTACTGGGATACATGGAACAGCTGATCTGTAGACACTGGGAAGGGCCAGTCTCAGGTGAGTCTCAAGACATGACGGCTTTCCTGAATATCTGGGATCAACCTTGAAAACAAAATGTTTAAAAAAGGCCTTTCCAAGGTCATTTATCTGGCCCTCACTTAGGGTCAACCTAAGTCTGAAACGACGTGAAAGCACACAACAACAATCCTATCTCATCAGCCAAAAGCAGGCCTACACTTCCCATTAAAATACTAATAAGTTGATATTTGTTAAAATTGTTCTTCATTTTAATTATTGTATTGTTTTAAAGTGTTTTTGCACTACAAATAAAGTATATGCAGTGTGCATAGGAATTTATTCATGTTTTTTTTCGAATTATAATCCGGCCCTCCAACAGTTTGAGGGACTGTGACCTGGCCCTCTGTTTAAAAAGTTTGAGAATCCCTGGTTAAATGTTTTTCTTAACAATCTCAAGGAAATGGCACATCCTAATGTTTGCCCTGTTGCTCATAGATGATGAGAAGAATGTCCTAACTGTAGAAACAAGTCGAACAGATTCAGGAAGTCCGTTTATGCAGTTTGAGCCTTTGCCATTGTTGTTACCTCGAATGCCACAAAACAAGATGCCCTCTATAACTTCAAATGTGGTAAGTTTAAGCCACAATGTGATTTGTGTTAGGTTCTGTCATTTAGACTATGAAACCAGTCATGTTGACGTTCTGAAATTATTATTATTATTATTATTATTATTATTATTGACATAAAAGCACAGTATGTCACAGAAAACGAGATGTGTATGCTGGATTTAGTATCACAAAATCACAAGTCGAACACTTCCCAAGCGTCTAGGACTCTGTGATGTATTTTCGAATGATGCACGCAGATCCAAGTAAGGTGGCCTTTTGCAGTTGACAGATCGTGATTTTGTCAATTTTTGTTGTTTCCAAATGCCGGCTGAGATCTTTTGGCACAGCACCCAGTGCGCCAATGACCACTGGGACCACCTGTGCTGGTTTATGCCAGAGCCTTTGCAGTTGGATTTTGAGGTCTTGATAGCGGCTGAATTTTTCCTGTTGTTTTTCCTCAATTCGACTGTCACCTGGTATGGTGACATCAATGATCCAGACTTTTTTCTTTTCCACAATCGTGATGTCTGGTGTATTGTGTTCCAAAACTTTGTCAGTCTGGATTATTATTATTATTATTATTATTATTATTATTATTATTTATACCCTGGTTTATTTCTCCTGTGGGAGACTCAAAGCTTAACATAAAAACATCCGCATACAATTTAAAATATACAAATATGCAAAGATTAAAACAGGATTAAATATAAGCAGTATTTAATTCCCAGTTAAAAATCATTGAAACATATTCAAAGTTATAAACAGCAGAATTGTAATTGCTTGACTGTCTGTATGACACTTTAATTTTGTTATGTGTTTGCCACAGCTTTTGAAATCTTTGTCCCCTTTCTTTTGTTTTGCAAATATTCTCTTTCTTTGCACTTCGAAGATATTTGGAGTTTCTTATTTTGAGTTGCATTGTACGCCTCTGGTTAACAAATACAGGAGAGATTAACTCAGCTTTCATCTAGCTTCATAGACAACAAAGAGAAATCAGATTTGTAGTATAAAGTATTTCCATTAATTACCTTTTAATATGTTTGGTGCTTTGCACACTCTTTATCACTAGACAGTCACAATAATAAAAACTAACCGCTGGTTAAAGATGTTTAATCAGTTGTAACTCACTTTTTTTCCTTTTTTACCTCTTTACCTTCCATTTTCCTATATAATCCTCTGTTTTCCTTATACATACCCTATTACATGCTTAGTACTCAAAACGCAGATGTGGTCACAAAACAAAAAAGAAGAGAAAAACACCTGAAGTATGTATGCTTGGTGGGGTCACTCTCTTTTAAAATCTTTTCTCACTATAGTGACGTAGGTGGATTTTTTTTTTAAAAAAAACATGTTTTGTTATACCAGGATATTTTAATTATAAACTTGTGGAAGTGGAAGTGAATTACATTCATTTCAACGGAACCTGAAATAAATCAGCTTCATGTTCTTGGACTTATTTTTCTGCTGCAGAAACAATTGGACTCAATAAGCGGGAGAAATAAAGAGAACACAAGATCTGTAGTGTTGTGTATTGCTCATGCATTTAGACAAATCATACAGTGTAAATGTTAGCAAGTTTGGATTTTGATTTCTGAAAAATTTAATAATAGGTTTAGCAGACATCAATGGCATTTGTGCCTACATTGAATTATTTTAGGATTGAAGATTTGGTACCTTGTACTAAATAGATTTACCATTAGAATTTTTCTTTAATTTAATGCTGGAGAATAAACTTAATTCTTGTCATCCACAGGTACAGCCTTCTCAAGGAACGAGTGGCGGACCACAACGTAATTTGAATGGGTTGATGGTGATTCATGGGATCCCTTTACACCAAAGGAACTTTCCTGTGATGGACAAAATCTTGTAAGCGTAGCAGCTGTTGTTATTGGTTTTGTTCTGTGATAAAGTTGTGTTTAAAAGTATTAGTTACTCTATATATATATATATATATATATATATATATATATATATATATATATATATATATATTGTTGAGAAAGAGCTCGAATAGATATATATATATATATATATATATATATATATATATATATATATATAGCGCGCTATTCGAGCTCTTTCTCAACAATTAATCTTATATTTGACTTTTAAATATATATTTTTTCCTTCACATCCATGGGAAGTATATTTTTGCAGATTTCTAGTGTGGCCCTGAAGAGCTTAAATATGCCCAGTAGTTTTGCAACCTGAATTTAGTTATACTAAACCAAATTATGCTTCATACGTTATTTTAGATACATGATACATATGTGGTGGAGTCATAGTTTTAGATGGCATATACAATTAATCTGTTAGTTGGAAATACAGTAGACTCATTGATTCAACAGTATGTATGTATGTACTCATTTGCCAGATACCTATTGATTCAATAGTCGAGGCCCCCAGGGATTCAAGCAGCCAACCAACTGCACTTTGCCCACTTAATTTAGCTGCTACCCTCACCTAAAGCAATTAAAATTTAAGGATAAAAAATTAAAATAAGAAACTGCAAATGTATAACTTTGTAAAATCCTATATAAGCACCTTCAGTCAGATTTTGATGTGGAGGAATTGTTAAAAAATTCCCTCATCAGCATTACCACAGACGTGTCTTAGACATTTGTATTTGTGTTGATTATCTTAGAAGACAAGGATACTATTTTGTGTGGAGATATTCCATTACTCAAAAGTGAGAGGGTAAAACTGGTGTTTCCTTTGATAATTAAGGTGCTGCAATCTGCTCTGGCAAAAGTTAGAAAAGAATTTTCAGAGGAAGCCCTCTATTTCCATTAATTTGCAGTAATTAACATTTAGAATTACCATACCAAAATATAGTTGATGTGATAGCAGCAAAACCCTGTTTATCTAATTCCAAAACTGAACAAGATTATGGACCAGGTGGCTAAGGTTGTTGTTAAAAAGCCACATTGACATCTGTAGCTCCTGGGATAATATCTACCAAATGGAATATCACATTGTACATTGATGTCTGTCCCATGACAGAAGATACCGACCAGCATTTTCTTTTAATGCTTTGCAGAAATACTAAGGACAGTGGATACAAAATCTCATGTAGCTATGGGCTACATGAGAGCAGAATGGTTTTATTAGAGCAGAATGGTTTTATTAGAGATGCACTTATAGTGGAGTTGTGTTTAGTTTATTCATGCTGACCATTTGAAATCAATCAACAAATATTTCATTTTGCCCCTGTGCTTCCTCTTGGTGTCAGAGACTTGGATGACAGGTTGCTTATGAGACCAGGCTCCAGTTCTATCCTCTCCACCAGAGCGCGGCCAAATCGCCCTCCTGAACTCAGTGCATCTTCTCTGTCCTATTCTGCACAGTCTGCTAGAAGGCGCAACCCACCACCACGTACCCTGCATCCCATCAACCCCAGCCATTCTCGCTCAGGGACACCAAGGCCTATGGACGAAGTTATCAGAGGAACACGGCGGTATGTTGATATATTATTGCTCTATTTCAGTCTCCATGCAAACATTCAGCCTTAAGGAATATGTGAAGCTGGATGGGCGAATAAGCATTACAGTGGGCGCTTGGTCTCCACCGGGGTTTGGTTCTTGCTTCCCGCTATCACCCTGCAGATATCAATATCCATTCAATATCCTGCTGAAGAGTAATTTTACTCTCTGTGCATTGGGTGGGGATGGAGGTGTTGTGCCATTATATTGTAAGAATACAATCTGGTGCTTCTTTATTGCATTCTTATGAACACGTGGTCCTCAGGTTTTTGGTGTCCTTTTTTAAGTGTCACTTGCTTACAGATTTGGACTGTTTCTTTCGGAGGAAACAATCCAGGACATCTAATCACCTCTCAAAAAAAGATTCCCCCAGGCACTGCCAGGTCATCAAATGCTAATCAAGGTGGTCAGTTGAAACATTAACATCTAGCTCCAGAAGACAAGAGTCCTTTGTCCCACCCTGGTCATTCCACAGATATATAAACCCATTTTCCGAATTCCAACAGACCTCACTACCTCTGAGGATGCTTGCCATAGATGCAGGCGAAGCATCAGGAGAGAATGCCTGTAGAACATGGCCATAGAGCCCGAAAAAACCTACAATAACCCAGTCCTGAAATTGCTGCAAAATAATTTAGATCCCTCTCTGGCTCACAAGCTTTTGGCTATGAGGAGTGCCAGGTTACCTGCAAATTATAGGATTATTATGAATGGGAGGAAACTGAGGTGTGGTAATTGTTAGCAAAATAGCTGCAACTACTTTGCATTCTCGAATTACTATCATTTAGTATTAAACTTCAAAAGTGTATTATTTGTATCATCATTTTGGAAATTTCAACCTGCGCAGAGTTTAGTGATTAAAGCACAATCTCAACACCTCGCAGCTAAGCAGTTCAGCATCTTTCATCTCCTTTCATGCATGCTTTGTTTTTAACTTGAGCTCAAATCAGTCCGATTGAAATGAGCAACTTATACTAATTGTTGTCTTACTCCAGCTCTGCTGCAAATGAGCAATTGTCTTCACCTTCCCCGATACCACTGAGTAGAAACAACCTCCTGCCTCCGATTAGTGCTGTAGATGCGACAGAACATACGGGATCCCAAAAACAAATGGTAAGCCATCTGTTCACGAATTCCAATCTCAGAATTGTTGGGGATCTCACACCTTGTGGAACTCACTGTAAAAAAATGCTAAAGTTTTGAAAGAAATTGTGTTAATGATTTCCCGGAGAAGCTTGTAAGATAATTACAGAGGAGTTTAGATCTAAGACACCACATCTTACCCACAAATAATTAGAAAAATAGTTTTCCCCATAAAATCATTGCTACGTTTGTGTGTGTGAGAGAGCAACAATTTTGCTATGATTTTGCTTCTCATAGGCTGCTTGAGGCCCAGGAGAAGTTGTTATTTTTCATGGAAATTAATCAGAAATCTGAATTCTAATGACTTCTAGTTCACCTTCTGATTACATAAGGGGCATCCAGAATTGTTGACATTGTCTCCCACATCCCCCAACACACACGTATCAAGCTCAAGGCCCTCAGGTCCGCCATTATTTTATTTATTTAAAACATTATATTCCGCCCTTCTCACCCCGAAGGGGACTCAGGACGGAGCACAGCATATATACGGCAAACATTCAGTGCCGGGACAAGAATTCTTATATATATACATAAACATTAAAACATTTATCAAAATATTAAGATACACCATTTAAAACTGTCCTAGTCAACCACGTCAAATCTAATTGGTCTGGGAATCTTTCCTATTGCTGCTTTATTGCCCTGTCCCGAAAGCTTGGTCCCACAGCCAAGTTTTTACCATCCTTCTAAAGGACAGGAGAGAGGGGACTGACCTGATCTCACCAGAAAGGGAATTCCATAGCTAGGAGCAATCACCAAGAAGGCCCTGTCTCTCGTTCCCACCAATCGTGCCTCTGACAATAGTGGGACGAAAAGCAGGGCCTCCCCGAGGATCTTAATTTCCGCGATGGTTCATAGGGGGAGATGCGTTCCGACAGGTAATTTGGGCCAGGGCCATTTAGGACTTTATAGGCCAAAGATAGCACTTTGAATTGTGCCCAGTAGCAAACAGGCAGCCAGTGGAGCTGGCGTAACATGGGAGTTGTATGCTTCCTGTATGCCGCCCCAGTTATTAACCTGGCTGCCTCTCATTGGACTATTTGAAGCTTCCGAGCAGTCTTCAAAGGCAACTCCACGTATTTATTTATTTATTATTTCACAGTTTTGTATACCGAGCTTCTCAACCTCGTTGAGGGTCTCAGCCCGGTTTACAGCTGAAAATACTAATAAGTTTATAATTGTTAAAATTGTTCTTCATTTTAATTACTGTATTGTTTTTAAGTGTCTTTTGCAGTACAAATAAGATATGTGCAGTGTGCATAGGAATTCATTCATGTTTTTTAATTGTTTTTATTGAGAATAAAAGTTGCACACAAGAGAGTGTTGCATAATAGAAAGAAATATTTGTGTCTGTTAAAATAAAAAAGTATCTAGGTTACATTAAAAAGAGTGGGAAGAGTGTGTTAAGGAAAGTTAAAAGAGAGGGCAAGAAGAGAGGGAGGTGCACTAGGAAAAAAAAGAAGATAGATAGATATATGCGGGGGGGGGAGGTTAATTATGTACTTCGAGGTCACCTAGGGACAGAACATTCCTCTTAAGCCTGAAGATTGTATATCTTTTCATCTTCTTGTCTTTGTATCTTCGGTCTGCTGACAAGTTGTTCACTCCTTCTATTTTTCTTCTTCTTCTTCTAAGTACTCTAGAAAATTTTTACACTATTTTGAAACATTTTTGTGTATGTCCATGTTCATAATATCTAGCGTGTTCAGTGTCCAATGTTGTAATGTGGGAGTCTCTTTCGATTTCCAAAACTGGGCTAGTTTTATTCATGCAGCTGTTATTAAGTGGAAGAAGATCTTGTTTGTGTTTTTATCCATGTCAAAATTTGTGATACCTAACAAAAAAAATATTCCGGTTTAAATTTGAATTTTATGTGTAAAATTAATTCATTTTTTAAATAAATCTGATGCCAGAAGGTCTTAACTTGTTTGCATTTCCACCACGTTTTTTTTTTTCAAATTATAATCCAACCCTCTAACACAGGGGTCCTCAAACTTTTTAAACAGAGGTCCAGGTCACAGTCCCTCAAACTGTTGGAGGGCCGGATTATAATTTGAAAAAAATATGAATGAATTCCTATGCACACTGCACATATCTTATTTGTAGTGCAAAAAAACCCACTTAAAAATAATGCAATAATTAAAATGAAGAACAATTTTAACAAATATAAACTTATTCGTATTTCAATGGGAAGTGTGGGCCTGCTTTTGGCTGATGAGATAGGATTGTTGTTGTTGTTGTTGTGTGCTTTCAAGTCGTTTCAGACTTAGGTTGAACCTGAGCGAGGGCCGGGTAAATGACCTCGGAGGGCCGCATCCGGCCCCCGGGCCATAGTTTGAGGACCCCTGCTCTAACAGTTTGAGGGACTGTGACCTGGCCCTCTGTTTAAAAAGTTTGAGGACCCCTGCTCTAGATGCTGGACTACATCATGACTAAAGATTATGGGACTTGTGATACACTAACATTTGGAAGGCTGCAGTTTGATCTGTTCAGATAGGATAGTGGGGTTTGGATTTAGATATATGCCTTTAAAATGCCCTTTACCTTTCCTCAATCTTAGAGTCACGAGTGCTATTGGGTTGCAGGTCCCATTATTTCCAGTCCCCATGGTGGATAATCAAAAGTGATGTGAGCTGACATTGTCACATCTAGAGTTCCAAACTGGGTAAAAACGGAAGAGCACTGACCACTATGTAAAAATAATTATACTTGACCCTTTGTATCCACTGATTTTCTGTCCATGGATTCAACGGCGCTTTGAAAGCAACCATAAGGCTGATGTGGCTCTTGATGAAAAAGAGTTTGTGGTTAGAGTTTTGAGTAAGAAAAATTGGAGGGGGGCACATTGGGAATCTGAGGGGGTGTGCATGCACAACACAGCTACTTCCCCTGTCCTTCATCTAATGTTTCATTCCAAACCTCCCTTGTATTATCTAGGGTAGAAGGACCGTGGCTTTTTAGGGAAAGTAGGATTTTAGAGGTGTCTTAACTTTTCAGGGGGAAACAATCTATTAGGACTAACAATGCTGGCAGTTTTCCATCTTCAGAACTATCTGCAGACAAAATTAGAGTTTCAAGGCATATCAAGCCTCTTCCATCCCCAAACAGATCTGGGGTTTAATATTTGCTTTTAATTTTTGCACAAATGGCTTGTGTCTTTATTGATTTGTTATTGTTTGTCTTGTTTACTTGTATTATATTACTCTGTTATCTATTATGTATGTCTGGCATCAAATGGTTGACGTTTTGTTGTAAGCCATTCCAAGTCCCCGGCAGGGAGATGGGATGGAATATAACTTTTTTGTGTGTCAGGAGCGACTTGAGAAACTGCAAGTCACTTCTGATGTGAGAGAATTGGTTGTCTGCAAGGATGTTGCCCAGGGGACGCCCAGATGTTTTACCATCCTGTAGGAGGCTTCTCTCATGTCCCCACATGAGAATATGGAACTGACAGATGGGAGCTCACCCCACTCCCCGATTTGAACCACCGACCTTTTGGTCAGCAGTCCTGCCAGCACAAGGGTTCAACCCATTGAACCACCAGGGGCTCCTAGTATACAAATAAATATGATGATGATGATGATGATGATGATGATGATGATGATGATGATGATTAACATTTTGTTAACTTCAGAGAACAATATCATAGTGCAGACCTTTCAGGCTCTTACAGGGTAACCTTGGATCTCAAACTGTCTTGTCTTTGCAGAAATCCCGGGGAAATGCTAGCAGGGCTCGCAGTGCGATAGCAGATGAAATCAACCATCAACCAGTGCATGAGAGGTTTTTATTACCTGATAGTTTCTCCAGGCCCAACACATCCCATGCATTTTGGGTAAGAGGTGTCAAAATTGCATCCAGATCCATACAGCTTGTTTTGTTGTCCATTTCTTTAGTAATAATAATAAATTGTATTGATTAGCCCATAGGTCATATCACAATACCAAGCCAAACAACAAGGCTTGATAAGACTTGTTACGCTCTATGTAGAAGATCTGTATCTTTAGTAATTAGATAGATAAGTGTGATATAGATCAAAACATTATGGCAGGATACTATTATTTTCTGTGATAAGAGAAACATCAGATGTTGTAATGGTAGATATGAACTCAGTTGGACCAATGCTTGATGTCAGTGACTGTTAGGATCTGCATAGGTGCTTCAAATTCTCCAAGATTGGGAGAAAGCTTTTCCTGCTAATCTTAAAACTCAGCTGGCTTGTGTAAAGCAAAACAGACTGGCCATTATTGCTGATAATGTTTTTGCGTCTTGACTTATTAGCGATATAGGTCTATATGAACCTGTATCTGTCAAGTCCTTATCTGGTTTCGGTATCAGTATTATCAGGGATTTCCTCCATGAATCCGGTATTTTCTCCCCACACAATATTCCTATAATAACCTACAATAGTTTAGGGATCAGCATTTCTTTAAAGGTTTTATAAAATTCCGGACCTAGTCCATCCAAACCTGGGGCCTTTCCAATCTTTAATTTTTAATAGTTCTATTTCATATCCCTCAATGGGCTTTTCTAATAATTCTTTATCCTCTTCTCCTAATTCACCCTCCCAATTTTCCTCTACATATTTCCTAATTTCTTCTGTGGAGCAGGACTTTATTTGGTATAATTCTTTATAGAATTCTTCAAAAATCTCTATTTTTTTTCTTCCATTGATCTACATATGTCTCCTTTTTATTTATTATTGTGTTTACAATATTTTCTATTTTCTTTTTTTGCGTTGATCTAGCTAGCATTTTTGAATTTCTATTACTGTATCCAAAATATTCTCTTTTTAAGTATATTACATTTTCTTGAACTTCATCAATCTTGATTTTATCCAATTCTTCTTTTTTGGCCCTTAGTTTTATATATGTTTGTTTATCTACCTTTCTAATATAATCCTTCTCCAGCTCTTCTATATCTTTATTCAAACTCTTTTCCCTTTCTTCTTGTATCCTTTTTAATTTGCTTGCATCTTTTATGCATAAGCCTCTTATCACCGCCTTCATTGTATCCCACAATATTCCTTTTGACACGTCCCCTTCATTTATTTTCCATATTTCTTGCCATTCAACTCTTATTTTTTCCACAATCTCCTTACAGTTCAGTATCCTAGTGTTTAACCTCCACCTTTTTATTTTTTCATATTCACATTTGAACCCAATTTCCATTGACACCAAGGCATGATCAGAGACCCTTATGTTACTAATATTTGCATTTAACAATTTACTCAACATAATTGCTGAAACAACATATTTGCAGACTGGTATCCAGTGAAGCTGTTTATACAGGGAACAGAGAATTGTCTTGCTTTAACAATGTGAAAAGCTGGATTGGGTTCTGGTTCAATAAATGAAATATCCTCCCTACAACAAACCCTTCTTCTCTCTTAAAAAAAAGGAGTGGACATCCTCAGAATATTCCCCTGTGCGCCATTTCTTACCCTATGGAAGTGTGTAATATAACCCTCTCTGTATAATTTACTTTTGAGCATTATGGTTAATGGAAAATTTAGTAAAGGTAAAGGTTTTCCCCTGACATTAAGTCCAGTTGTATCCGACTCTGGTGCTCACCTCCATTTCTAAGCCAAAGAGCTGGCGTTATTCGTAGACACCTCCAAGGTCATGTGGTCGGCATGACTGCATGGAGCACTGTTACCTTCCCGCTGGAGTGGTACCTATTGATATACTCACATTTCCATGTTTTCAAACTGGTAGGTTGGCAGAAGCTGGGCTAACAGCAGGAGCTCACGCCACTCCCCAGATTCGAACATGCAGCCTTTCAGTTAGGAGGTTTAGCAGCTGCACCACTGGGGAAAATTTAGGTTTCAATTTAGGCGTGAAGAAGATCTCGTGCCAATTGCTGAATTCTTTATATGTTTTCAATGTTTGTTAATGTTGTTTAGGTTTAAATGGAACTGTTAGGTCGGGAATAATCTTAATTCAGTTAATTCCCCCCATCTGCCACTGCATCAGGGTATTTTGTTTTCTGAATCCATTCCTTTAATTACTGCATATTCTGGCGTATAAGACTACTTTTTAACCCAAGAAAATCTTCTCAAAAGTCAGGGGTCGTCTTATATGCAGGAGGTCTTATACACGGGAGTCATCTTATACGCTGGAGTAGCCTTGTGTATGGGAAGTCGTCTTATATGCAGAAGTAGTCTTATACACCGGGAGTCGTCTTATAGAGCGGGTGCTGAAACTTCCAAACTAGACTGGAGAATCTGTGATTGCTGCATGTTGTGGGGGGAGCTCAAAAATGGCAGTGACCGCGTCCCTGCCGTATGCAGTGACTGTATGAAAGCATTAAGGGTGATGCTGTAAAAGTACGGTAGAAGAAAATCCATTCATCAGGATTCATGGACTTAATGCGGTCCCAATGGTGAGGTGAAGGGGCGCCTCACCGGAAAGGTGTAAGTGAAGGGCGGAKCAAGCTGCAGGCGTCGGGGCGCCTGGGGTATGGAAAAAAGAGGTAGAGTGGCTCTGGGCCCAGGAAAACACAATTCCTTTACCTGTCTGGCGTGCCCTTGTATCCTATTACYGTACCTCCTCCTCTGCCTCTCAGATCTYGCTCCTGAAGTGGTGCAGGTGCGCATGTGAAAGATCTGAGAGGCAGAGAAGGAGGTACAGTAATAGCAAAATTACCACATTGAAATCAAATCTGATGCTTTTTAAWTTTTTATTTGGTGTGYGTTGGAAGAGGGGTAGTCTTATACGACGAGTATATCCCAAACTCTATATTTTAACTGGAAAAGTTGGGGGTCGTCTTATACGCCCAGTCGTCTTATATGCCGGAATATACGGTATTTGAGATCTGGATCTTGAATAACTTTTAACAGTGGTGATTTTCCTAGTAATGTTTAGTAGGGCTACCTCAATGCTTATTAAGATGTAGGGAGGGAATAAACAAGGTTTGAATTGTGTTAAATGGGATCCACATATATTGAGAGATCATAACTTTTTGAGTATTTCAATTTGGAACATCCTGTTCCAGCATCTAATATAACTGTTTTATTTGCTGCTTTAGCCAGATTCACAGTACCGTCGTTCTTGCACTGTTATTGATTATGCTAATCAACCGCGAAATAGCAAAGGATCTGCCGGCACAGGTATGTGCACATTTGAAAGTAGTTTTGCTTTAAACGGTTGTATATCAAGCATGTCAATTTACGAGAGTTTTAACACTGAAATTTTTATTATTCTACAGATTCTATTAATGTAGGAGTGCTGGGAATCAGTTTAGGGATATCTAGCTCTTCCTATATTAACTCTTTCCACCACCAGCCTCTTGGTCATTTTCTTAATGAGGATGAGGAGGACAAAGAAGATCAACCTCCATTGGGTAAGAACTAAGAAGCAATGCTTTTGGACATGCTGCGTCATTCTTTCGCTCGCATCTCATAAAATAATTGCCATTTTTTCTAAAACGCAATTGTTGGTTATTTTGTCAAAAATTCATCTGTCGGGAATAGCAACTTTATACTCCTGATACTTTTTACAGTATATTTGTTCCAATTCTTTATTTCATAAAGCAAAATTTATTCTTAGCTAAATGCTGCATTGTGGGTTTTAGTAAGAGTGATCATAATACCAATCAGCGTTTTTCTTTTTAGCTTATCCCTCTTCCAGCACATTTAGTTGTTTTTCAATACTTGTGTTGATAAAATACATTTAAGAGTGCTAGAAGCAAAGACTCTCACATCCAGTGTTTGTATTTGTTGTTTCTTCCTTACAGTAGCTACTATGCCAAACCAGTTATTGAACTTGAGAGACTTTAGAAATTAATTCTAGAGATTCAGTGAGGGAGTTAAGTGGGAGATGGCTGATGTAATAGATCTGTCAAGGGAAACAAGTGCTGGCTCAGAGCATGATATAGACGGCTCAGAAATTTCAATTGGTACAATGGGCGGCAACTAGGTTACTAACTGGAGCAACTTACAGGGAGCGGTCAACCCCCCTGTTTAAGGAGCTCCATTGGCTGCCGTTCATTTTCCGGTCCCAATTCAAGGTGCAGGTTATTATCTACAAAGCCCTGAACAGTTTGGGACCCGCCTACCTGCGTGACTGCATTTCTGTTTACGAACCCACGCAATCTTTTTGATCAAATGGAGAGGCCCTGCTCTCGCTCCTGCCCCCTTCGCAGGCGCGATTGATGGGGATGAGGGAGAGGAACTTCTCTGTGGTGGCCCCCACATCTCTGGAACTCACTCCCCAAAGATATCAGACAATCCCCCACATTGGCAGTCTTTAGGAGGAGCCTGAAAACGTGGCTGTTCCAGTGTGCCTTGCCTGGACACCGACATGAAGGGAGCTTTGCAGCCCTCAACCTTGCTGGGCCCGGCAGGAGTGGGAGGCATTTTTCGAGATGGGCCTTGCTCACCCAGCACTGGCCCCTTCTTTCTGCCGCAGCCGCCTTTCATGTGACCCCGCCTGTGTGCCCAACCAGTAAACAGGCGGGAAGGCGCCCCACAGCCATGGCAGAAAGAAGGGGCGGTGCTGGGTGAGCGAGGCCTGCTTAGAAAAACGTGTCCCGCCATCCCTGCACCCGGCCCAGCAAGGCTGAGGGCTGCAAGGCTCCCTTCCTGCCAGTGCCCAGGCAATAGGTAGAGAAGGGAAAGAGGGAGAGAAGAAAGGAGAGAAAGAAAGAGGGTGGGAAAGAAAGGAAAAAGAGAAGGATGAAAGCAAAGAGCAAAGGAAGGAAGGAAAGAAAGCGGTAGAGAAGGAAGAAAGAAGAGAAAAGACAAAGAAAATTTATTTATTTATTTTGAGTATTTCTACCCCGCCCTTCTCAACCCCCGAAGGGGGACTCAGGGCGGCTTCCAACCGGCATACATTGATGCCTACAATTCACACAGTAAAATACATAGTAAGAATAAATTATAACAGTTAAAACATTACATTAATACAATAAAAATACAATAAAATGCCAGCTTGGTGGCCATCGTTTTGCCAAGTCTGTAATTAATAAATTCATTCCGCTTATCGTAGTCCGTTTCCAAAGCTTTAGTCGTCATTGTCCATTGTCAGTCTGCCAGATTATCCAAAGGCCTGGTCCCATATCCATGTTTTTAATTTCCTTCTGAAAGAGAGGAGGGATGATGATAATCTAATTTCCCCGGGGAGTGAATTCCACGGATGAGGGGCCACCACCAAGAAGGCCCTGTCCCTCGTCCCCACCAACCTCGTTTGTGACAAGGGTGGGGCCAAGAGCAGGGTCCCTCCAGAAAATCTTAAATTTCTAGGCGGGATGTGGAAGGAGATACGTTTGGACGAAACGTTGGGCTGAAGCCGTATAGAAAAGAAAAGGGAAAAAGGAACGAAGGAAAGAGGGAGAGAATGTTGGCCATAGCAACACATGGCAGGTACAGCTAGTAGGCATGTGCAATCCATGGTTCTAAATGGTTCTAAAGTACTTACAAAACAAAAGTTCTGATGGTGAAAACTAGGGGGTGCTGGTGCTTTGCTTCTACAATGTTGCTGAAGTTCTGGTGGTGAAAATTTCAGAACTCTAACAAAGCTTTCAAATTTCATTATAAATGGCAGTTCCTAATTGGTTCTGTCATAAAAATCATCAATAATGAAATAATAATGAAATTGTAGAAGCAAAGCACCAGTGCCCCCTAGTTTTTGTCAGTGATAGACTCTGTCCAGCGGAAGGAATGCTAGATCAAACAGACACTGAGTTGCAAATAAGGACTCTGCAGGCTTTGAGTTACAAAAGAAAACTAGATTTTACTAAGCACACACAGCAAACACATCTTTCTACAGCGAGCGATATTCAGGAAGAGAATAGTCAAAACTGAAAGCTAAAAAAAATTCTTCACATCTGCTTATCTTCTCTTGCTAGAGGCTGGCAACTCCCTTCAGTTTCTCACCAGAACAAGTCTTATCTTACTTTCTCAAGTTGACTTAATCACAGCCTCATTCTAAACATTTCTACACAGCATTTTCAATACACATTGGCATCCATCTTTGCAATACATAGAAGCACATTTAAAACACATGCATAACTAAATTAATCCTGACAGTTTTCACCACCAGAATTTTAGTTTTGTAAATACTTTAGAACCAAGGATTGCACATGCTTAACAGCTAGTATCAAATGAATCTTTGGATCACTCTTTCCAAGGTTATTGGGACATGAACACTTCAGGTACCAGTTTGTTCTAACATGGCATGATATTGAATACTATGTTTGTTTTCAAAACTTTGTCTGGTTTTTGCTTAGTAGGTCTTCAGTTGCATGGTTCTGTGCGAACTCACAGCCGAGGTGGATCCAGAAGCAGACAAGGTCTGTAGCATGTTGAGGAGCAGCTGTCCCATCTCCAAGATGAGGGGGCATCTCCAGAAGCTTTTGAAATCAGTATTCCGCTGTAGCAATACGAAACCTGTTTACAGAAGAACTCCAAACCTTTCTTACAAGTCGTCTTTTTGTATAAACTCAACTGCCAAAGATTACTACAGTTGTGTGGGAATTTTGATTCCTATGCTGTTCTGAGGGATATTGAAAGCTTGTGTTGTAGAAACCTAAACCCAACATTCCTGTTGGTCAAGAGTGACTGGCTTAATAGCAGTAATACTATTGTATTGTAAATGACTTGCCAATTAGTGGAACATAATGGCAATATATTATTTAGCAATACTAGATTACTCCTTGGACCAACTTCTGTTATTTGCTCTACTAGTATGAGGAGACATCAGGACCAGTTGATCCCGTGCTTCAGAAAAGGTTCGGAATCTGATGTCTGAAAGGTGGCCAAGATTTAAAGCTTACAGAATCCTTGTTTTTATTTTATTTAAATATAGGTGTCCATCATTCCTAATGACATCGATATTCCTAATATTAAACTGCAAGGATTACTACAGTTGTGTCTATTATGACTCTACTTCCAGTACTTACTTTCTCTTGTTTTATGTAGAGCAAAAAGTTTGGTAAAAAATTACAAGAAACTGTTTCTGTTCACCTCTCAATTGGAGCGTTCCTGCACTTTGGAGAAACGTCTTACACGTTGTAGGCATTGTGCCTGGTGAGAGGTGTTAAGAAATAGTTAGTAAAAGCATAGCCTACAATGAATATTCATTTAACGTCAATAACTCTGCAGATTAACTCTAGGTCTTACTAGTCCAAGTGAGTGCCAGACTGCAAATCTTTCAAGAGATGTAATTTGAAGATAGCTTTGCATTATATTCTAGATACCATGTGAAAGTTGTAAATGCCAGAATGAGAAAAGGGTTTATTAAATTGTAATATGGAATAACTTTTGTATGCAAATAAAAAATATTTTCTAAGTTGTATCTGAATTGTAATTACGTAGCACGGTTGGGATGTAGCTCCTGGTTTTAAGAATGGCCTCTTTTAATTTAGTTTTCTGATTGTTTGTCATGTACCAGGCAGAACAGTTACGGTCCCTGGCCACAGGTCGAAGTCTCGCCCGACTCTTGCATTAAAGTTCCCCAGGAGGATGATTTTTCCTCCTTAGGTATCCCCGATAGGACGGTGTCCAGCTGACAGTAAAATTTTTCCTTGATGTCTTCATCAACATCTAGTGTTGGTGCATAGGCACTTATGATGGCTGCCTATTGGTTTTTGGCAAGATCTATTTGGAGGTTTGAGAGTCGTTCGTTGATGCCAGTGGGTGCTTCGGTCAGATGTTTCACCAGATCATTTCTGATAGCAAAGCCAACTCCATGCATTCTTTGGTCTTCTTCGGGCAGTCCCTTCGAGGTGTAGCCTCCCTTTTCTTCCTTCAGCTGTCCCTCTCCTGCTCTCCGGGTGTCCTGAAGGGCTGCTATGTCAATATTAAAGTATCCCAGCTCCCTTGCAATGATAGTAGTTCTGCATTCGGGGCATTCACTGTCAGTGTTGTCCATCAGTGTCCGTACGTTCCATGTACTGAAGTTTATTTTTCTTTGTTGGCCGCAGGGTGGTGACCCCACTGGACGCGGCAGTCCAGTCAGGGATAAGAAAGGCAGACTATGCTTAGGGCATCTTTTCTAGCCCCCTCCCCATGTTGGTTGAGCAGAGTGGGTCCTAAAAAGGGCTGCTCAGTCGTGGATACAGCTGCCGAACTACTCAGACCTTGAGGTAGAACGACTGAGTCCGTATCCACCACCCATGTGCCAGTCTGTGACTAGGGGCTTCCAGATTTCACAGCGCTGCCTCCGGAAAATCCAGCAAATCTCTTGGGAAGACAGGCGGAGAAATGTCAGCGTGCTGGAAGAAGCAAAGACCACCAGCATTGAAGCGATGGTCCTCCGCCATCAAGTCCGCCGGACCGGCCACGTTGTCTGGATGCCCAATCACCGTCTCCCAAAACAGTTGCTGTAGAATCTGAAGAGGCACAAATGGAGGGCGAAAGAGAGAAATGTGCCAAGAGGAAGGCACGTCAAGCCAACCCCGATCGAGACCGCCTTCCACCTGGAAACCAATGCCTTCACTGCGTAAGAAGATGCAGATCAAGAATAGGGCTCCACAGCCACCTACAGACTCACAAGAATTCTGATCCTGGAAGACTATCCTACTTGGCCAACAAGGGATCGCCGAAGTGAAGTGAAGAGCAGTTAACACTCCTTGTAAGGTTTTGGAGGAGGGGGTGTTGGTGTTGGCGGAATCCACACAGATGTACGCATTTTGCACGCTCGCCAGCAACATGGTAAACTGTGTTCCTAAATTTCTGCTACATGCCAAGTACTTTTGTAGGGGTTTTTTGAGAAAAAGTTGAAGCAATGAAATCAGCCATCTCCTAGGAGCCTCCAGTGGCGCACCAGCGTTTCCAACCTGGGAGTCGGGACCCCTGGAGGGGTCGCAAGGGGGTGTCAGAGGGGTAGCCAAAGACCATCAGAAAACACAGTATTTTCTGTTGTTTGGGGGAGGGGGTCTGTGTTGGAAGTTTGGCCCAATTCTATCCTTGGTTCAGAATGCTCTTTGATTGTAGGTGAACTATAAATCCCAGCAACTACAACTCCCAAATGACAAATCTATTTCCCCCAAACTCCACCAGTGTTCAGATTTGGGCATACTGAGTATTCATGCCAAGTTTGTTCCAGATCCATCATTGTTTGAATCCACAGTGCTCCCTGAATGTAGGTGAATTACAACTCCCAAACTCAAGGTCAATGCCCACCACACCCTTCCAGTATTTTCTCTTGGTCATGGGAGTTCTGTGTGCCAAGTTTGGTTGAATTCCATCGTTGGTGGAGCTCAGAATACACTGATTGTAGGTGAACTACAACTCCCATCTTCTGGAGTATTGGTTCTCCATCCCAATTTTGTCCCATCTACAAACTTGATCATGCATTCTAACCCTTCATCAAAGTTAGCGTTTCTCGACCAGGGGCTTGGGACCCCTGGGAGGGGGGGGAGTCTTGAGGGGGTGTCTGAGGAGTCACCAAAGACCATCAGAAAACACAGTATTTTCTGTTCGTCATGGGGGTTCTGTGTGGAAGTTTGCCCCAATTCTATCATTGGTGGGGTTCAGAATGTTCTTTGATTGTAGGTGAACTATAAATCCCAGCAACTACAACTCCCAAATGTCAAGGTCTGTTTTCCCCAGATTCCACCAGTATTCACATTTGGGCATATTGAGTAATCAGGCCAAGTTTGCTCCAGATCCATCACTGTTTGAGTCCACAGTGCTCTCTGGATGTAGGTGAACTACAACTCCCAAACTCAAGGTCAGTGCCCATCAATGGGTTGTTGTAGGTTTTTTTCGGGCTATATGGCCATGTTCTAGAGGCATTATCTCCTTCGACAATACAATGTCCACCAAACCCTCCAAGTTTGCCAAGTTTGGTCCAGATCCATCATTGTTTGAGTCCACAGTGCTCCCTGAATGTAGTTGAACTACAACTCCAAAACTCAAGGTCAATGCCCACCAAACCCTCCCAGTATTTTCTGTTGGTCATGGGAGTTGTGTGTGCCAAGTCTGGTCCAATTCCATCATTGGTGGAGTTCAGAATGACCTTTGATTGTAGGTAAACTATAAATCCCAGCAACTGCAACCCCCAAATGACAAAATCAACCCCCTCCAAATGCCACCAGTATTCAAATCTGGACATATTGGGTATTTGTGCCAAATTTGGTCAGTGAATGAAAATACATCCTGCATATCCGATATTTACATTACGATTCATGTTGTTGTTGTTCATTCGTTCAGTCGTCTCCGACTCTTCGTGACCTCATGGACCAGCCTACGCCAGAGCTCCCTGTCGGCCGTTACCACCCCCAGCTCCCTCAAGGTCAGTCCAGTCACTTCAAGGATGCCATCCATCCATCTTGCCCTTGGTCGGCCCCTCTTCCTTTTGCCTTCCACTTTCCCCAGCATAATTCGATTCATAACAGGAGCAAAATTACAATTATGAAGTAGCAACAAAAATAATATTAAGTTGGGGGTCACCCCAACCTGAGGAACGGTATTAAGGGGTCACGGCATTAGGAAGGTTGAGAAACACTGGGTTAAAACCCTTATGCCAGCAGGACTGAAGACCAACAGGTCGGAATCGGGATTCGAACCTCTGACCATAACAGTAGCAAAATTACAGTTATGAAGTAGCAATAAAAATAATTTGATGGTTGGGGGTCATCACAACATGAGGAACTGTATTAAGGGGTCACAGCATTCGGAAGGTTGACAAACACTGCTTTAGAAACATGTTTATTAATTTGACAAAAAAAATCTCTAAAAACCCATTAAGTGATTAAACACACTCTTGACATAAACAATATTGCTTTATAGAATGTAAACAGTGAAGACTTTTTATGCTTTCGGGTTTCTTTTTGAATTGGAAGTTTTTTTTCTTCAGCAGCAATCCTAGTAAAAGACTCTCACTGCAATTGGAGGAACTTAATAACTATTTTGATTTTATATCTCCACATGTTCCGGGATATATATTACCCAACAGTACATCTGCAAATAACTGTGTTTTTCTTCTCAAATAGGAATTCTGTTTACACAAGTCACTTCGTTCCTTTCTTGGGTGCTGCTTTTTTGCCTCCTTTTTTGGATTTGCCTCCATACTTCGCTTCCATCTGAGCCAAGAAGTCGTCCATTTCCTTTTTTCGATTTTCGTGTCTGCTCTGTTAAATAGACCAAGCATAAGCTGGTTAAATAAATAAATGCATAAATATTCCACAGGCTTCTCCTACAGGTGACGGGACATTTTATCAAGATAATTCAGAAGGCAAGATACATACAAATATATCAATATTTTTTAGTGAACAGTGTTTAGAGAGATGTTCAATGTATTGTTGAAGGCTTTCACGGCCGGAATCACTGGGTTGTTGTAGGTGTTTCAGGCTATAGCAGTTCGAAAACATGCAAATGTGAGTAGATCAATAGGTCTATATGGCCATGTTCTAGAAGCATTCTCTCCTGACGTTTTGCCTGCATCTATGGCAGGTATCCTCAGACAACCTCTGAGGATACCTGCCATAGATGCAGGCGAAACGTCAAGAAAGAATGCTTTTAGAACATGGCCATATAGACCTATTGATATACTCACATTTGCATGTTTTCGAACTGTTAGATTGGCAGAAGCTGGGGCTAACAATGGGAGCTCACCCCATCCCGCAGATTCAAACTGCCGACCTTGCGATCAGCAAGGGTTTAACCCTAGGGCCATCAAAGCCCCATATTAATGTTAAACATTGCAATTAACTTTCTGAAGGCTAAAAATTATACTTGAATGAACGGCAACGCATCTTTCTTTCATCTTACCTGAATAAGTGCTGTCAAGTCGTCATCTCCTTCACCAAGACCTAGCTCTTCTCTGGATTTTTCTGCTTCTTTAGCTTCCTTCTCAGCCTGAAACAGTTAAGACAGTTGTTAACAGGTAGGTTTTTTAAATGTGTGTTATTGTTTATATGTGATTTGTATTAACTGTATTGTATTGTTTTTGTGTATTGCTTTCTTGTTTTTATTGATGTGTTGTTGGGCTTGGCCTCATGTAAGCCGCTCCGAGTCCCTTGGGGAGATGGTGGCGGGGTATAAATAAAGTATTATTATTATTATTATTATTATTATTATTATTATTAAGTCTAGTTGTGTCTGACTCTGGGCTGTGGTGCTCATCTCAGTTTCTAAGCCAAAGAGCCAGCGCTGTCCGTAGACACCTCCAAGGTCATGTGGCCGGCATGACTGCATAAAGTGTTGCAGAAGCGATACCTATTGATCTACTCACGTTTGCATGTTTTTGAACTGCTAGGTTGGCAGAAGCTGGGCCTAACAGCAGGAGCTCACCCCACTCATCGGATTCAAACCACCAACCTTTCATTCAGCAAGTTCAGCAGCTAACCAGGAGGCTCACTGTTGTTATTATATTATATTATATTATATTATATTATATTATATTATAT